ATATTTACAGATTTGTACAGTTTTTGTCCTTTATTTACTGTGGCTCTTGCCACTCTTACTACTCTGAGGTCAAATTCTCCATATGGCCATCATCTAAAAATGCTGTTTTCCTTAGCAGCACTGAGATTGATGGCTGTGTGTACAACAGGCCCAATTCTGCACTCCACTTCATAGTCTACCTTCCATGGAGTTTAAGATGGTTACCACTCTGACTCAAGGCAGCACAGGTCAACTGCCCCCAGTCACCTTTTCTTACTCCAGTATTTCAGTGTGTTGAACTACTGGCATATTTTGCCTAAGGCTGTGCACTAGAGTGGCAGATGAATTTATTTCTGACCTGCAGGTTATTCAGTTGCCAGTTTTTCTCCTGTTCATTCAGAAAGGTAAGGGAGAGCATTTCATACTAAACTCACCAGAACTATGTTAAGGGATTCTAGAAAACATCCTCTTCTCTCTCACTGGTTATTTTCAGGACTCTTGGAAATGGAACATGCTGTTGGAAAAGCCTCTTGTGTTTTTACACCAACACCCAGTCTAAAAGTCAAGTGTTTGCATTTATTAACTGGATGCAATTTCTCTCTTTCCCAGGTTTACTTTATCTTTAAAACCACAACAAGCAGCATTCAAAATGGATACCCATCTCCCACAGCCAGTGTCCACCCCAGGCACCCCTCCAGCTGATGTAAGAGCAGAATGGAGAAAATCAGTCCTTCCACAGAGTTCACATGGCAGAAGTATTCTACATGGCTTCAGTTGCCAGAGGTACACCCAGCTGTGAGTTCAGTGTCCTGGTCAGTCAGTATTGTGTTCAGAAAAGCAGCTGGCTTTATATAGGGTGTCCCTGGAAAGTGCTTCATCACTGTTTGGCTGTGTAATAAGAGGCTATTCATTATAACACCTGTAATCAAAGGTGCTCTGACTCCTGCTGATACTCAAGGAAGAATGGCACTTACTGTATTCTCTGAGTTCCAGGGAGACATCATGATTCCTATAAAAAGGTTAGTATAAGAATGGTACTTCTTCGCTAAGGCTAAAATAACACCTTCCAGAAAACTAGCATGATGATCCAACACTTGTGGCTTGTTAAGTTCACAACATTGAAGAAAAGTACCTTAGTAATCATTGCAGTACTATCCATTAAAGTACAGTAGCAAATGGCTTTGCATTTTAAGACACGTCAGGTAATAATTTGTTATGGTGGTTTATCCTGACCAGCTTGGGCAGGCTCTAAAAAAGGAACAACACCAAATGTGTGGTTGCTCCAAAAACATCTTCCTCCCCTCCTTCCCTCTTTCTTTCCTTCTTCCACTGAGACTAGACCAAGAAGGCCTGACCAGCCCTGCCATTACATTATAACCAGGTAACACAGAAATTAATCAATTAATTTATTATTAATAGGAGCAAAATGTAAAAGCAGAACAAACTGTAGATGTACTACCAAGCACACGGTGTCCTGTTGATACCTCCAGAAGACTCCTGTGATAAAAACATACAGATTCTTTAGCTCTTGAAAGGTCGAATGTGTTAAACTGTGACTTCAAAAGGATGAAATCTTTCCTGTCTTCTATGTTCTTTTAGCATTCTTGTTTTCCTTCTGCTTTCTGCACTGCTGGATTTTAGCATCCATGAGTCATGTGATCCTTCTAGCATCAGTATGTTTTCCTTCCAATTTCTAGCATCTCTGCCCAAAGGCCCCTGGTTAGACTTTCTGCATTTCGATGTGCTGGTGGTGGTAGTGGTGGTAGCAGTGATGCCTGGGTTGACACCTTCCATTCAGTTTATAGACAGAATTTTTCTGCTGCCGTTTTTTGAAGAACCACACAGCCAGTACAGCTGCAACCAGTAACAAACAGAGAAGAATCACAATTACTGCTATGATAGCACCTTTACTGGACCTGGGACAATCCTCTTCCTCACATGGATCAGAAGTGGGAATGGGCTTTTCTCCAAGGCCCTGGGTGAGATTTTCTTGCTCAGCTAATTCCTGGGATGATGTGTCAGTAATGATACCTGGAGCTGGTGCAGTGGTTGCTATTTGTGCAGGGTGGGTGGTTGCTTCTTTTGGTTCTGCATATGGAGTGTGATCAGAGGGGCTGACCGTCACAGAGGTTTCTGACATGGAGCTTTTTAAGCTGGTTATGTCAAACAGCATCGTTGCACTAGGCTCCTGAGTCACAGTTTCCAGAGATGTAGTTGGGTGGTCCCATGCAGTATCATCATAACCTCTGCTTGTGCTTAAGTTCTCCAGACCACTCACTGATGTAAGTAGAACTGGTGTCTCTTTGGTCCCTTCATCATCTGCTTTTGTTGTTGCTGCCACAATCTGTGTTAAACCTTCCTCTGGAGCTGGGCTGCCATTGCCTGATTTTCTTACTTCAGCATGATTTGGTTGGTCAGTTGTAAGGACAACGTCATCTTCAGTTCCCATTGAACCATCAACTTTATCCCCTTCCTCTTCATCATCCTCTACCACTTCTTGCGTTACTGGATAGCCATCTAACCATGATTCATCAGTGATGGCAACTGCATCTATCTCTGCCTTTGTATCATTAGTTGTGAGAATGGGTCCAATGGGGAAATCCTCACTGTCGTAAAACATTTTGGCACCAGGTTCATCATAGGGTGCCTTCACTCCAATGTGGTTATCACCTTCAGAAAGCTGTGCTTTAGTGGAATCATCTGTCTCTTTCTCTGATTCAGGCTCACTGAAAGCCTCTGATGGAAACCAAAACAAGTTTTTTTGGCTTAGGAGTGACACAGGGGATTCAGTTGGTGCCCTGCTTCCTTTTTCAGAAGTATCTGTGTCCTGAGTAACAACTTTGGTACTTCCAATTCTTTCTTCTGAGCTTTTACTGAAGGAAAGCTGTTCTTGCTCCTGCTCCATTTCCTCTTTGCCATTGACGTGTTCGTTCTCAACAACAGGTATTGATCTGTCATCAGGAAAGTTATCTTCATAGTCAATGTGCGCCTCGGTTTCATCTAGAAACATTAAAAAAATCCAACACAAAAGACAACGCTTAATTTCTCCAGAAGAGCACTGGGCTCATTTGTTACAAGAAGCCAAGAAGAAAGGTGCAATGAGGAGTGACTTCTAGGCAGTAATTTTCATTCCTTGTGAGCTCTTCAGAGCTGCCCAAGGAAGACCCCACCACCAAAGCTGATACTGAGTTTTGCTTATCTTTATCTGAAGGAAGGAAGATGCACCCATGACTGCAAGGACAGAAAACTCCAGCACTTAAAGCCTAACACCTAGGGATCAAGGTAACACCATCTGCAATCAACTCTCAGCTTCCAATTTTAAGAAACTTCATGTTACCAAAAAAGAAAGATGAGAAAAAAAAAACAAACAAAACCAAACTGGCCAACCCCCCCAAAAACCTGAATGCAACAGAGAGGCAGATTAATCTTAAAGTCTGAGTTTGATTTAGAAATACTCCCTATGCCTCAACAGGCTTAACCACTCATAGCAAAATAGATTTAACTCAGAGTGTGAAACTGAAGGTTTGAATTTGAATGAAATAATGCATTGTAATTTATATTTCTTTCACTCTTCTAAAAGACCTTAGCTCAATGAATAATTTTCCAAACCAGACAGGGTGGTTGATTTTCAGCTCACACAAGTTTTACTCCATAGAAGGTTGATGTAATTGGTGAGATTTATGCTGGCATTACAAGCCCTAGAAAATAGTGCCTTAGGATGTGGAAAATAAAACAAATGAATCATGGTGAGAATTTTTCTTTTCAAGAGAGTGTTTAACCTTTCATGAAGACGGTGAAGCAATAGACCTGGCATGACACGGGAAACAAGGAATTAATAGGCAAAGCTGTATTACAAATCAGTGCATTCATAAAGCCTTATCTTTTTTTGCCTTTTTACACTCCACCAACTTTGAATCACATTTTCATCTGGGGCCCACCTCAATTTCCGAATGAGTCACATTCTCCTTGGAGACTGCTTCCCAGACTTCTGGCAGAGCCACATTTGGTCTGCTCTTAAGAAAGATTAGAAACATTGTCAAACCAGTCTGACCAAAACCACTCAGTAGTGATACAGCTCACACCAGCTTGCTTTTTGCCAGAACAGCTTAAGCCAGGTGCCAGAACAGAATGAGTATTAGCAAAAGGTATTTTTCTTGGAATAGCATCCAGGTCTACCAGAAACCAAAGCAGTTATGCTGAGGAAACCAAAATGTGTGAGTTAATACCTCTGTGAAAGCTATCATGTTGGAGAACGGGATGTTCTCAGTAGGTCCTCTCATCTCACAGCATGGGTGTAGGGTGAAACCTGTGCAAGATACAGCAGTGCCAACAGCAGACTTCTCTCCTGCCTGGTTCTGTTGTCCTTATCTGCTTGTGTAATCCTCTAGATCCTCTCCATCCTTTCCAAAGCAGGAAAAAAATTCATCTGGTGCAAAACCAACTTAACAGACAGGGGAATCCATCTCTTAGAAGGGAAACCTTCCTGGTAGGACTCTCACTTTTCTAATTCATCCTAAAATCTTTTCCAACATTATTTCAGGCTTTCATTAATGACTGGAGGGTCCCTCTGAATACCAAAACATTTTAACAACATATTTATGAAGCTCTGTGTGGCACTGACCATCACTATGTAGCACAATAGCTGTCAAATGCTAGTCTCACTTTGTCCCTTGTCTTATTTTCACTAAAGAATTTTTCTACCTGGCATGCTCTTTGCATGGAAACGGTGCTTCAAGCTGTTTTGTCCTCTTATGCTAAAAGTTGGTATCTGGCATGCCTGCTTCATTGAAGTCCAGTGTCTCCTAGGACAGCCTATAGGATATATATGTGCATTGGAACATCGTAATAGGAGAAGTCACTGTTTACCAACTGCGATGGTCATTTTTTCCTTTTCTTAGATGAATCTTCAACCATGTCTGTCCTCACCTGTACCTCTAGTTTTGCTGTTCATTTACTTTTCAGACTACTACAGCAATCCAGCTGAGGACGAAACGATGATTTTTACGTTATGGCTTTCTAGTGCATGCACACACGTCCGTGAACAAAAATTTCATTCATATGCTTGGGTTGTTTCCTCCTGATGTATTCTTTAGTTAGCAGTGTGAATGGGGCAGCTAGTATTCATCTTATTTACCAGTATGGATCATTAGTGAATGCTTAATAACTGTAGTAATATGGGTTTTATAGAATTTGAAGCTCTTTCCCTTTAGTGCTTCTCCTGCCATGTGCTTTCAGCCCTTCAGATGAGAGTCCTATGGAGGCACATCAGGAAAGAGAATGTGCTTCTAGGAAAATACAAGTCCTCAGTCTGTCAGAACATATTAAGTGTTTGCTGAACCATCAGTCAAGTCTCCATCAAACCTGCTGTCTTTGGGCCTGATCCTGCATGTATAGAAATGAATTGGTGCTTTCTTACTGTTCAGCTGAGAAAAGAAAAAGCCCATTGTAGTCTAAAGAGAGCCTGAGATTGGAGCTCATTATGCACTGCTTGTCACTGCATAAGGGAGTCTTGTTCCTTCTGACAATCAGATTGTGGCCTAAGTTGTAAAGCCTGGTATAATGTATTTCCATATGCAGTCTCCTGTATTTGTATAGTTTATAGCAAAGACTATGAGCATAACTAATGTTTGTGTATGGGATGGCAGAATGAAAGCAACTATTGAGCTTTCTAACCATCAAAGGAAATGCAGACCCCCTGAGTCTGAAGCTTTGATTTATATGATCCTGAATTGACTTACACAGTAATAATACTCTATTCTTTCTTCTGGACCTCAGACCTTCAAATGGGGCCTGGACTTAGTATTTAGTGATTTTTGTGTTACCATGACAATATCTGAAGTTAGTCATGAGCTTGATTTTCCAGAACAGATTGCACAACTTTCACACTTCTTTTTGCTCACCTCCTCAGCACTTACCTGAGCTTTTCAGCTCCCTGAATTTTAGTGTCGGTACTGAAGAGCCACAACCAAACTAGATTCAGCTCCACCTCTTATCCACATAGTTGTAATCTATATGTTTATACAGTTTTTAAAGCTGCTAGCAAGTGGTTTAAAAGTGGTTGCATCTTCTTCCCTATCCAGGCAGGTCTGTTTTTAAGAAGAGCCAGCACTGAAATGAATTAGTCCAAGACCAAAATCTTCCTATATTTGGTCATCGTTACATCTTACCCCTACCCTCCTCTGGCAGACTCAAGGATCAGGGAGTTTTGATTCACTGTCTGAGGGATTACTGAGGCTGAAATGAACATTTTACAGCAGCACAAGCTGAAATGGCATGCTACTGAAGATGTGAAACTCAATTAAAAGGTGAAATCCTTTCCATTTAGCCTTGTCTTTTCTGGGAAGCATCCAGACCTTAAAGAGCTTTCATCTCCTTCAACTTTTGATCCTAATGTGAAAACAGTGACCAAACGTAGACACAGGCAAAACCAAAGAAAGAGCCTGGTTTTCCACACTCTAGGATCAGTTTAATTTTTCTTCTAGATAGCATATTGGCATCCCAGCTGTATTTTGAGTGTTGCTATTTTGGACAGCCATAAAGTGCACTGCATATTTTGAGGATGTATTTTTGGAGTACAGGAAATTGAAACTTGATTCTATGTAGACCATCATCATAAACATTTCTACTGTATAAACCCAGCTTTATTCTAAGAATCTCAAAGTAGTTACAGTGAACATTAACAAGAGGACATGTGTCTGAAAGGGTAGGAAGGAAAAGAGCATGTAGACCGATTTGCCTAAGATCAGCGTTGTAAACTAGAGCATCTTGAAGAATTACCCATTTGACTTGGATCACACTTCTCTCAAACCAGCCAGAGTATGCTAGACAGAAATTGTTTTGCCTTTAGTCTTTTGCAACAGCTGCAAGAAGGATGACTTTTCATTGTAGCAGAAAGCCTGCTAATGTAAATAAATAACCCATCATCATTTTTAAAAGTAATTCCATTTGGCAGAATCAGTTCATGCCTGATCGATACCTTCCATTAATCTAATACAACCACTCAGTGACAGACCTGAAAAGAGAACCAAAGTTTGTCATAACAATTGTTTTGACAAGTCATGGACATATTTTGTTCTGATCTTGCCTGTCACAACTTTTCCTTTGCACTCCCAGACAAAAGCAAAACAAAGCAGCCCCAAATAAGATTGGAAGCCAGAGACATTTTGCTTTACTCTGCCCGTTAAAAAAATAGAAGGAAAAGAACTAAGTGGTGCTGGCTGATCATGCTTACAGAGCAGAGCACATGAATGTGAATCAACACTATTCCTCAGGACTCAGAAAGCAATGTTTGAAGTAGTGAGAAGAGTTGAACCAGGCGAAAAGACTGGGAGCTGCAGATGAAGCTTTTGGAGGTGGTCAAAGTCAGCCGAATCTTCCTCACACTGAAATCAGAAGTCTGGTGCTCAGTGTGGAAGTCAGACCAGCTCTGAACACACTAGACAATCATCCGAGTGTTGACACTGGAGAGATTCTTTACGTGCGCAGCAGGTATGACCTCTCCTGCCACAAGCTTATAGCTGGGAAAACCCAAAGCAGCCAAGGGAGAAGGAGAAATATGAGACATTCCTCTTGGGCAGTTTTAGAGCAATGACATGATTTCCCAGCCACCTAATCCACCTTCTCTTTGAAGAAGCAAACTCTCAAGGATGCAGCTTAATGCAATACAGCCCTGCCCTCCCTACTGAAATGTTCGTATTAATGCTTCTGATACTGAACCTATGGTTCATTTGGGGAAAGACAAAAACAAAACACATTTAGCAATGGTCACTTTGGTCTCTGTGCCTGCAGGCCAGCCACAGCATGGCATGTCTACATCTGCTTTCAGACCTTACTACAGTGCCCATCTTCAGAATGTATTTTGTGAAACAAATGTGTTCTTTCCACAGAAAATAAACTGCAAAACCCGCCTATTTCCCTGTTCTCTGCTTAAGGTTGCTTTGTTGGGTTGAATATCCCTATGTTTTCAACTAGAACACAGCATCTTTTCATGACCAGAAACTGCAGGAAAGACTAACTGTACAGAACCACTTTTTTCCTTAAAAAGCATCTTGATTAAAAATTACCATCCATTGCCTGGTGTGTGCAATGCACAGTAAAGCCATTTGTAATGTACTGTTTTCTTAATTTCTTACATACTTTATCCAGAATCCACTTAATATAATCCTGAAATGATTTTGTTCAGTTATGCCCATAGCCAGATTTTGCCACGTATTTTGGATTCTATGTTTATTGATGCATGATATATGTTTTCATTGAATTTAAAGATTTACCAGCTGTATGGTTGTACACTTACATCCTGAGTGCCAGAATGGACTGTATCTCTTCTAACTGGATCAAAACAGAGAGGAAATATGATCATAAAGCTACTTCAAAGAACATGTAAGTGCTATATTTAGACACTGCTATGATGATAGCTCTTTGACACTGTATTTGTTCTGGGCAAGCAACTGGGAATGTAGTACAGGCCTAATGGTATTACACAGATAAGAGAAAAGCCCAGTTATTGCTGTTTAGTCTGATATGCTGCTTGGACAGCTGGGCATTATAATGTGGCAGTTACCAAGTAATACTGTAATACACATCTGTAACATCCACAAATCTCAGGCAGCTTTATGAAGCTTTATCTCTCTTTCATGGATGAGGTGGAGTAAGCAGCAGAGAGCAGTATAGTGACTTGCCCCATCTCAGTGCAAGATGTAGGAACAGGACTTCTTTTAATCCTGTGGCAGGAGTTTTCTCCCCTGGTCCAATTGTGTTGGCATAAGAGCATTGGGACCACTTCACATTTCCAGTTGCTCACCTGGCTCAGATGCAGAAGGAGGGATCTGTATCACCTCACCAGCCTCTAAACATAGGACTTAAATGTTCATTGAAGAGGCTTCGCCATCATTTTCCTTCTGATGTCAGCCAGTTAGGACAGAAATGGCCCTCCCTGCCAACAGGGATATAAATTGTTGTGTCATTACCCATCATAATAGGGAAGTTACTCTTGCCTCAAAGCACTTAAAAAGCAGCATGTGTGCTGACTTCTGGAGTACTTAAGTAGTAATTATTCTGCTTTCTCCTGTGACCCTAAAATAACTGTTAACCATTAAGTCAGGTTTCTTTTAATTAAACTCCCTTTTTTGTTCTTTTTCACTGAATTCTTGCTTTTTTAAAAGTAATGAAACCTAGTATCACACATGTCAGTCTTCTGTAAAACCTTCTTTCCTAAACAATAGTGATCAGAAGGCTCGAATAGCTAATTATTAATTGAACACATATTGTGGTTTCTATCCCACATCTTACCTTGAAAGTGTTTGAGAAACATTAACCAAAGGAAGCCCCTCAGCATGAAGTCTACATTTAAATAATCCAGAAAGAAAATTCATAATCCACAATATTACAGCTGCTCCCATGTTCCAGTGTTGATGTTTGTGATTTTACAGCCACATTTCCCTATTTCTTCTAAAAATATTATCCTCTCCCCTGCGGCTGTGTGAAAGGCTCAGGCAAAACGGGGAAATAGACTATTTACCCAGGGAAAACAGTGAAACACACACAACTTAAATAGCCTGATTCTTTCCCTTCCTTATTTTGGTGTCGTACAGTTTTATTTCTATGTGTGATAAAGTCAGCATTTTCACTAACCTCAGTGAAGGAAAAAGAAGTACCAGTTTGGTGCAGATTATAGGAGATTCAGACCCACTGGCTTATCAGGTGTAGATACTCTTTTCCTTCTCTCCCTCCATGCTCCTCCTTCACTGCCTGCAGTATTTCACTTAATCATCTGAACTGCTGTTTGTAAGAACAGTTCTGGAAGATGAAATAGTTCAGAAAGATGTTGGAATTTGTCTTTGTTTCGTATCTCTATACCGTTTTGATGGCTTTGAATATCTGGTTCCCTGGTACACAGACATGACCTGTTTCTGCTAAGAACGAGTTTGACCTTTTCTCATGATTATGCGCTGCCTGCTGGTATATATTCATGAGTAAAAATAGCTCCTTGTAAGTCCCTGGGCATTAAGGAATACATAGGTTCTGAAATAGATATGCTAACTTGAGCCCATATAGATAGCTCAGCTACCCGACAGCTGCCCATTCCTTTGCTGAAGATTAAACTGCTTTGCCAGAAATATCATCTTAAAGGTGTGATATCTCTCTGGAAAAAACCCACCATAACATACTCTGATGACTGTTCTTGAATATTGGAAAGAGTGTGAGCTTTATGCATAGAGCAGGGTAACATGGGAAAGAGAATGAGAAAGCAGAATTCAGACTGCGGCCATGTCTGAACTCATGGTACTGTTTAACGTATGTTTAAACAAAGGGAAAGTTCAGATCATTGCACAATTGAAGTAACATAAAAGTGGATTTTCCTGAAGGTTTAAATCAAGGAAATGTCACTATTATAGCTTCCCATAGCTTTTACATTATGTTCTTGTTTGTTTGGGGTGTTTTTAGTCAAAGCCTGATTCCTTCAGTCAAGTTATTCGGTAAGAAAATCCACTGTCATTCCTTTTAATGGAGTAAATATCTGGACAAAACTCCTGCAAGCATGGTACAAGATACAAATTTGCCTTTTTATTGGGGCAAATTAAAGAAGAATACTTGGTTTTTCTTTATTTTTAACTTTTCCATCTAGCTGCTTAGCTCTAACCCAAGTGTTTCTGCCCCTGTCACAGACTTCTGTAGCACAGGCAGCTCTCTTAACTTACACAGATCTCTAATTTTCCTAACCTACCAAAAGGAAGTGGTATTTACCATATGTGTATGGCCAGAAGCTCAAAAATACTAAAGCAGCTAGGAGGAAAGGGCTAGTAAAAGCTCAGATCAGCCAAACTAGCTTCTTACAAGCCAGCGAAAAAAGTCTGGGGCTTAAAAGATGGGCAGCTATTGTGTTACCCATTTTGCATCCCAAATAAAAAAATTCAACAACACTTAAAGGATGGCCAGCTCAACTCAACCTAGAAAATATGAAGAATCAGGGGGAGTTGCATATGGGTCTGCTGTGCCCTTGAGAAGTATTGACCCCTGTCTTCATGGGGCCACAGTACTACCGTGGCGTCTTGTCTTTTCTGTAAGGAGGATGCTATCTCAGGGGCCTCAGCATGTACCATCACATAAAGATGTACGGGTGGTGACTGGGTGCTAAAATCATGGACAGCATGTCTATGGTAAGGAAAGATGTTTATTATGTGCATGCCTACAAAAAGACACTGACTTTTCTCTCTTCTTGCTCTAGGTTCCCAAAGGTGAGAGCAAACAGCACATTTTCATTTCAGCAGCCTGCTCTGTAACAACTCTGTGGCTTCATGTGAAAATAAACATAGCAGAAGATAGACAAAACCTGCATTGTGCACTCTATCTGGTAAGCAATGTCTTTGGCTCTCTGGTGCTGCCAGGGAGCAGCTTTTGAACTGCTCTGAAGAAAATAACCTCTGGCATTTCTTGTACCATCAGTAGGAATCCCTTACCTTGAGTAAACTAAGTAAGTACACAGAAAAGTTATAAACCTCACCCAGTAGTAGAATGAGCAAACACAAGGTTATAAACAACTGATCTCCAGAAAGGGGCTGATTCTGATGTTAAATACACAGGTGAAGGATCTTCCCAAAGGATATTTTCTAGTAATTAAAAGTTATGTTCGGTACTAAAGAAAAAGGGCACTTGGGGGGGAAAAGAAGAAAGATGGTTGACTGGAAGGCAGGAGCTGAATGCTAACACTGGGATAAGACTCAGTGAATCCCTGAAATGGGTTTAGCAGATGCAGATAAAATAAATATGGCATAAAAATTCTGATTTTTTTTACTTTCAGTGGCTCCTGCTACCCAGAAAAAAAGAACTTTATGCACACTGAGTATGAGTACGTTATTCTGTCCTGTGGTTTACTAGAGATGTCTGCCAGCAGGGCTGGAAAAGCCCTGTTGAGCCAGCTAAGTCATTGATGCTGCAGTCACCAAGAACTTCACTGGGGCTTCATGCGCCCAGGAGAGGCACCCTTGTACGCCTGAAACCATCTCTGTTGGGCGGATGGGAGGCTGTGGCCTCCTGGAGGGATGCTTCATGTGCTGGGTGAGCTTACCTTTGACACAGGCCTGAACCTGCCCGTACCACTCCCCGCAGCTATTGCAGAGCAGCGTGAATGCCGTCTCCTTGTTGCCCATGATGTACCCCTGGGCACAAACATACAGCAGCTCGTCCCCCATTTCAAAGCCAGTGTGGCCATGCAGGATGGTGTGGGGGAAGGATGGTGGGTCCCCACAGGGCTTGTCTGGAAGGTAAAAAGAAATGAGATTGCAGAGACCTTGCAAAAGTCTTTAAATGCAGTGCTAACAGCGGTGCTAAAAGAGTTACACCAAGGACAAACTTACACATGTCCACGGAACTCATACATCTCATCTGATTGATGCCCTCATCCCCCTTCATAACTGTTTTCAGCTGTAATTGTGTAGGTATATATTAGGCTATAGCTGTGATGTGATAACTGTGATGCTATTGATGTGTAACTGCAATGCACCTAGAGGGCCTTTGTTTCCAGCAAGTTAGCTCAGGATGTTAAGGTACAGCTGTCTTCTCTGCCTGCTTCTACAAAGGCTAAAATAGGCTTGGGTGTGCTGGGACTGGAAAGCAAAAGTTTGGACACAAGTAATTTTTCTTAACTGCAGAATTGCTTATGGAGTTGTTTATGGAATTGTTTAAGACTGGCACTTTAATGCAAGCAGGCAGAGGCTCAGTAATGGCCCAGTCTGCCTTCACAGAAAGGAAAGTCCAGGTGGTCACCAGCCTATTCCTTCTAGTCTTTCACAAAATCAAAGGTTTCTTCCCTGATGCTCAAATTCCCCCAATTTTAGGTTAGAGGCACCCTAAAATAAATGGTGACGTGTGCTCTTCAACAACACCCAGGGGTAACACAGCTCTGCTCTCTGTGAGAAGATGAAGAGCTAAATATTTCAGGGTATAAAATCTAATGAGGTGTTTGATAATATTTCTGCTGATAGCACTAAAAGCCAGGAAGCCAAAATTGCTATAAACAATAACAACTCATCTGAGTTTTGTGTTGCGTGAAAGAAGTGCAGAGAGGAGGCAGACAGAAAACTGCTGAGCCCAGTGTAAGCTGGATTTTAACTCTTTTCAGGTTTGAATAATCTTGGCTATTAAAAAGGTGGGTCAAGATTTAAAGAACTTGTAAGCATTGGGGTTTCTCTTCACTTAAAGATCTTTCTCTTAGAGGTGCTTTTCAAGACATGTTTGTCATGTCCCCCTTTCCTCCAGATTTTTTCCAGTCTCTTTTGGAATAGACATCTCTTGGTTACAGAAAAACCAAAACAAGAAAACCTATAACGCAAGAACATGGTTTTACTAAAAAGCCCAATGGACAAAGTGTGCATGTTACTACAAATAAACACTTCTGTATTCTTTCTCAAATCTGATTTTTCCCAGTGGTTCTAGAGCCCTTACTGACTGTGGAAGAAAAACCAACTGCTCCACTTGCCAAAGTAACTGAAGATTCAAACCCTGCTTTTGTCCAGATACAGAACAACCAAAAGTGAAAAGACTAATAAGTAATAGCTCAGGAGTTCTCATTAATTACATGGGATAGGGAAACTTAGGGCCAGGTCTGTGTTCTAGCATGGATCTTTCCTGTTGAAACAGTTGGCCTTGGTACCAAAACCTGTTTACTTAGTTGGCTAAGCAACGATTATGTTCCTTGGAAAGACTTTTGCTTGGAAGCTGAAAAACTGATCTCCAAGAGTATGCTCCTAAACATGCAGAAGGAGAAACATCTTCAGAGAGCACCCGTGCTACTTTGCTGAAGTCTGCTTTTAAGACAGCATCAGCATGAGATGTTAGAAACAACATTTCCATTGACACCAGTTCACGTCCAGGGTTTTCCATGGGCAGTAGTTTTGACAGTAAAGCTTTTTTCCAATCTACTCGCTGCAAAAGCTCAGGCTTTCCTGCTTTTGCCCCAGGGACCCTCTGCAAGATTCTTGTGAGTCCCGGCTGCAGCTTTTCCCATCATCTACTCCCTTCAGACGCAGGCAGAGGTAAATCCATGTTTATTTGGAAATACGATGTATTTACGTTGCCGGTTGTTTGCCTTGTAGTGCAATGAAAATCCTACGATCAACATCCCCGCTCTGTGAAAGTCCTTTTGGATCAGGCTTTTGGAAATTGTCTGCTGGGTCTTGCTGACCACTTCTCAGCCAGGTATGCTGAAAAACATCTGCCACTAATTGAAAGGATACGCTACCGAAGTCAAAGCTTTGAAGTCTGTTCTCCGTAATGTAAACATACATATATATACTGTCTAACACCTTCAGAAGTTAGTGGGAGTTATGCACACACACACACACACACTGACAGAAAAAACAAGCTCTTGAGGCTACACAAAGCTCAGTTTATGTACAGTCTTATGGAGGCTTGGCATCCAAGGAAGTGAGGAGCAGTTAGCAGCTAATGCCTTTCCTGTGAACTGGTGGGATGAATACAGATTGATGTGGATGAAAGGAGTAAAAAAACCACTGCTTCATAGTAAAGCATACTTCATTTATGTAGCTGCTTCCATCAGTACAAATGGAAACCATGTATCTGCTCTGAGGGAAGTCTCGATCCCAAAGCTGCATAGGATAATTATACATCAGAGGGTATTCTTATCTGCAAAGCCTTGCTTCTTAATCGTATGGCCAGAGGAAGCAGAACAGTAACAGTTAAATTAGTTAAGTATGGCAAACACTTTCAGAAAGAACATTGTAACCTACCAGGAAAGAGGAAAGCTGAAAGGAGCTTTACTGTAAAAGCTAGCAACAGACGTGGTCACAGAGAATTATGAGGTACTGAAAGAGAGATCTGACTGATGTGTGGATAGAAAGAAAAACAGAGATTTCAAAGATATTAATGGATGGACACTCTATGGGGAACTTTTGACTCTCTCATATGAGACTTTATTAGGTCTCATCATTGCTGTAGAGCATATTGAGTGACAGCTTGGACAAACAGAAGTGAAAGCTGGTACCCTGCAAAGACATACCAAAGTTCCTGCATCCATTTTGCTGCTGTCCTCATCTGTGTAAGACGTAGAGGAATTTTCTGGGCTGCAGCATCTTATGGGTCCTTGTCCTGCTGTAGTCTCAGTTGCTATGACAATTCCTGCTCAGCCTTTTGCCAGACCTGTTCTTTCTGGTATAGGTACAGCAGTAACACTGGGACAGCAGCTCATCAAACTGAGCCACTCCTGTGGACAGGCTTCAGGTTTTTGTCTGCAGCGAGCTGGCAAAGCATGGGCTTGTTTGGAACAACAGCCTCTGCTCAGTGCTTTCTTTCCTTACTGCTGAAAAAGGCAAACTGAAATACATAAGCCATCAAACTTTGATGGGTGGCTGAAGCCAGCAGTCATTCAACAAAGTCTGATTTGCATTTACGCTCTACACACTACAAGTCACTGCCTGTTTCATTTTTCTATGGTGGCAGTAAATCAAAGCCTTATGGAATAGAGATCTTACTTGTTGCCTGTAAATATCAGTGGGTCACTGAAAGAAAGAACCAGGAGAATGTGGGAGCTGTTAACAAAGAGATCTTTCCTTTGTTGCATTTAAAAAGCAATAGAAGAAAGGGAACCAAGAGGATTATACACATATGAAGTTGAATGGCTTGTGGTCCTACAAAAAAAGAAGATTCATAGGGAAAATTCCAACTTTCTGTTTTTCTTGCTTTATCTCTTTTATACCTCAGGGCGTTTTCTTATGAGCTTTGATAGAAAACAAATACACACTCTGTGTGCCAGATCTGACTTACTTGGTGATACTCAGTTTTCAGAATAAGCAGAATCTAATGTATTTTTAGGTCATTTTTTTGCACTCAAGGCTAAGAGAGAAATTTTCTGATCTCAACAGATCCTGGGCTGCTACAGAATTGTCTTCCAGACCCTGATGTCTGCATAAAACAGTTGTTTACAAGAAACTGAGAAGACAAATGTCTCTGGACTGCAAACCCCATGGCTATACTCACAGTATTCACGAAACATTGCAGCTACATCTTTCCCTGTCAAACATAACTCTCACTACCAATTCCCTGTCAAACATAACTCTTAGCATCAAAGACTGCTGTGATTCATCTGTGGGTACAGAACAAAATCCATTCCAGAAGCACAAAGAAAGGTATGTCCCTCTCTTTGGGATTCTTATTTGTAAAAGCCTGATTCTGTAAGCACACCCAGAGCTCTTGCTAGCATTTGACCAGCGTCCTAGCTATTGAGGCATACCAAGGTGTATGCTTAAGCAGTTCGGCTGAACACATTAATGCACTAAATGTTAATTGATTAAAGATTAATTATAAATCAAGGTCTAAGAAGGCAGTTCAAGATGCCTTTCGCACAACTCTAAGAACTAACTGTTCTAAGGCAGAATTGAGAAGAGCTGCTATCATCAGCTCAGTTTCTGAAGAAGACTGATGTGACTGTTCCCTCTGTCTGTCCTCAACATGCCTGTTTGTCTGAGCCTTTGGCTGATCTCAGCCAAGTCTGACCAAGGCAGAGCTGCTGAGTGCCTGCTCATTTTGATGATTTAAAAGAGGAAAGAGCCACAGCAAGGCATCTTTTCCATTGGGGTGGGCATAAGTAGGACTCAGCCCTTACCCATCCCCACAAGCAGAGCTGGCCAGGCAGGCAGCATTGCACATGGGTGGACAAAGCAGCATATTCGTAGTTTTAAGGCAGCCACAGCACATGCAGCCCTCAGTCCAGCCAGCCATGCCCAAACCCAGCAAGGAGCTGAGAGTGCCCTGAAGGCAGGGAGATGGTGGGTGGAGGGTAAGAAATACTGGAGAAAGAACCA